AAGTTATACTAAGTTCAAAACATGGTAAGATTAAAGTAATTTGGACACTCATGTTTTTTTTACAAGAACAAGCTGAGTATTTAAATAAATATAAAATTATTCATGTAAATTTTCCATTTGAAAAGTCTTTCACTGGGCAAATTTTTTTTTAGCTGTTATCAGAGATGAAGTATTAAAAAATAAGTCATCAGTGCGTATTTTGAAAATCCTTGTTATTCAGACCCCAAGCGGTCCATCCTATTATGTAGTACTGTAACACAAAGATGGCCATGAAATACAACAGTCTTGTGCTTTCTGAATCATCAGAGTGGAGTTGTGTTCACTTTGGGGGTTTTAAGTATTAAGACCATTTTTCATAAAAACCTAATCTCTGAAAATTTGACAGGAGTGTAAGGTTTTAATAGTGATATTTGGTTAAATCAAAACATTAAAATAGAAGCATCAGCTATAAAGAAAAAAACCCTACAATTTATATAGAGTATTCTTGAAGAAGTGGGCAAAATAAAGTGCTTTCAAAATGAACTTATAAAGTATTAATTTATGATAACCGGTTTGCCAGGCCCCAAACACATAGTACAAAGAAATTGTTTTAAATAACTTCAAAATAGAGTGAGAATGAGGCCTTACTCTATTTTGGAGTTATTTAACAATTTTAAAAGACAATATGTAACCAGTTCTATTTTCTTACACAGGTGTGCGAGCATTTCCACATGCAAAAACAGAAAGACCTATCATTTGATACATGGGCTGGGTTCTTGTGAGTTTTGTAGTTCTGGTTCATGCAGCCAAGGAGCTTGCAGAAGGGTATGTCTGATTCCTAATGTACATCAATTGAAAGAGAGGTATTTTTCCCCCCAAGAAAAGAAAAGATTCTGCTTGAGGGCTGGGTTCCTGTGAGTTTTGTAGTTCTGGTTCATGCAGCCAAGGAGCTTGCAGAAGGGTATGTCTGATTCCTAATGTACATCAATTGAAAGGTATTTTTCCCCCCAAGAAAAGAAAAGACTCTGCTTGAGGCTGGCTTCTTGACACTCTATTTCTCACTTGAAGTTATTTTAAAAGAAAAACATTCTGTTTTAGCATTAGGCAGTTATAAAATTGTTCTCTACCCTATCCTACATCACAATCCCAGGATAAAGATTTCTGTATAGCTATAGCCTCAGAATTCAAATCCATTTTCTTATTCTTTCCTTCTGAACTGTAAAACACAATCCAAAAGTTAAATTCAAATCTGTTGACACAGATGGGGGTACCTATTCCATGCTATGGCATAGAATGCTTTAGAGAGTAACATTCTCATTTAGTGTAAAACTAGCATTTCCACACTGTGAAAACCCAGAAAATACATTTCTAAATGGTTGCTTCCAGGTAAGAAGAGAAAAAGTGATTACCAAAATGAGCTGGAATATTGTTAATTATGATTCATAAGATATTCTCTGCCATTCAACTGGTTCAGGTAAGACTACTATTGATTACTGTCAACTCTGACCATAAGCCTTTCCTAGGCCAAAAAGGAAGGCAAGGAAACTCATTTCTCTACTCTCAGCCATTTCCCTGACAACAAATATTTTATTTTCCAATGTGTGATTTCTAGGCATTCCAAATATTATATATGAAGACACATTTAAAACTTAGTTCTTCTAAAAAAAGTTGTACTTGCTTCCTGTTTAAACCTTTAATTAAAATAAAATGTAGTAGGGTTGTAATACATTTTAACAATGCACACAAAGAAATCCAAGCGCAAAATTAAACATAAAAGATGTATTGTCCGTTTTGGTTCTTAACACACACAGCCCTCAAATAGCAAACTCCTGGCTACTTTTTAAAATAAGTAGATTAAAAACGAGATTAACAAAATGTCCAACACATGTCAAATTATCGCCTCTACTAGTTAAAAGATTCTGATGGTTGTAAAACTCTGTTGGTGGCCATATTGGCCTAGAATTTTTAATATAATTGAGACTAGAAATGACAGGGGATAGAGACTTTCCTTCTTAAATAGTTCAAGAAAATTTTTCCTAGAATGAGTGATTTAAAAGATGAAAAAGAACATTCAAAACTGGGCTTTACCAAACTCTGAAAATATAGCAGAAATTAAAATACAAGAGAAGTTTTGTACTGTTAGAGATTTTTAAAACTTCTAAATTTTTTTAAAGAAGGAAAAAATATGAACTATCTGGGGAAATTATGTAGTTGTTAAATAAAAAATATTTTTTCTTGCAGATTTCCAAATCAATGAAGCCATTAAATTATGTAACATGATATCACAGCCATTAAGATATAAAAAGCAAAATGGGATAGTTATTATAACATGCATATATGGATGTATATTTGTGTGCACGCACTTATTTTAAATAGTTTAATTGGCATGGACCCTGTAAAATGATAGTCTTAGTTTTTATTAATGTAGTGAAGTCTACTCAAGTTTGGTTAAAAATCTATTCAGATACAAATGTTAAAGAGACTCATTTTGTCTCTCACAAAAATCACTGAAAATAACAAATACTTTCTTCTTACTTCTGAGTATGTTTTAAGAAATTTTTGATTTGGGACATTATGCAAATCCATTTATATCAATCAACATCTTTGAGAAATAATATTCTGTTTAACCTATAGTTTTTTGTTTGTTTTTGAAGAAAGTGATTCCTGCCCAGATCTTAATTTGTAGTTACTAAAACTTAAGTTGCTCTGCAAATAACCTTTAAGTCTTACTGGTTCGGAGGCAGAAAAAAGCAACCAAAATCTCTTACATGTAAACATTTCTAAACTGGCTATATTAAAAAAACTTCCTCTGAAAAAGTGAAGTTTGTTTTGGGTATAAAATAGATACTTTTTTGGTTAGAAAACAAAGTTAATCAGCGAAGGGGTATAGAAAGTTCCAGAATTTCAGACAGATTGACTTAAATGAATAGACAGTAGCAAATCTCACCCAGGCTTCATTACTTGGTCATTGCTCTGACTGACGCCACATTCACGTGTGAGGGCTACTATGAGTCAATAGATGGCAGTCCATCGCCTAGTAAGAGAGCTGAAGGTGACGAAAATCACCATGCATCTTGCTTTTATTCAAGACTGCATACTGTTTAAATGTATATGCATCTGGATATTGTCCATATACTGATAATTTAAATAATTATTTAACTATTTTATTTTAGATGGACTGAAAATATTCCCACATTTAGAAACATAATAGTTTTATTTTTATACTTGCATAATAAACCCCATTATTAGTTTAAACTTGATAGTCATGAATTGTCAAAGTAACTTCAATATTATTTTGCAAAATTAATCAGGATCTCAGATTGGGACAAATGGAGTTTTCAAAATGAACTTGTTCCATCTACAGATAGAATATACTGTAATTATGCAAAAAGCAAACTCATTTTATTTTCATTTAATTTTTCAATTGTTTTTACAATTTATGTCTCTGAAAATCTAAAATATTAAACAAACCTTTAAATATTTCTACTATTACCTTGAAACCAAGTTTTATCCTTCATTGATAGTTACATAAAAGAACAGAGATACAAATAATGAAAACGATGGCTTTAAAATATTGTAGTACTTCTCATTCTCTAAATTTTCAAGATTAGAATTCTATAAATCGGGGGATGCTAAAAGAAATGCAATGTTGAATATATTGGAATACTACTTAATAAAAAATAAAGCTGAAAATACTGCTATGGAGTGACAGAGTGGTTCTGTGTTCTTGAAAAGTGTGTGACACATGATTAGAGTCTTATTAAGTTTAGGTTATAACAATTTTACCATTTTTCTGTTAGGATAAAAAAACAACTGCTACATAAGCACATACATAATGTATTCAAGTGAATTATATATCTGTACATATGTGGGACATATGTAGATGTACACATATTTGTGGACAGACCTCAATCTGGGATTTGAGGGATTGCTGAGAAATTATAGCTTCCAAGTGAGAATATTTAAATAAATTAAATGGTGATAAGAAAATATGAAAACAAACCGCCTGATAGTCCTGGCTTCTTGGGCCTGTGACGAACAGTTGGTAGCTTGAGTTTATATTTTTTGTTTACTTTTTATCTTTTTAAGAGGAGAGCAATAAGAAGAAAGACTTGTTTTGCAAAAACTTTGCCCTTTCTATTTTTACTACTTGTCTTTCTATAAGCAAAACTTTTAAATACGCTAAGCTTTAAGGAACAAGTTTTAACAACTATCAATTACTATGTGTCACATTATATGACTACATAATTAAAAGAATAATTGCCTCTTGCTCAATATAACATACTTAATATATTAAAAGAAATGAGTAGTAGGACTATACCAATTTATTGAAATCACTTAAGGTGAATATTAAAAGAAAACTGACTTCACCATGTTGATCATTAGCCAACTACATTCTATAGTAACTACATTTTCTGTTTCTACTTGGCCTAAAGTCTCAATAAAAGGAACCAGAGAATTTAATATTCGGAATGGTACGAAGCAGATATTTATACATTCTGAGTTAGTCAAGAAGGGCTTAAGACTATAACAGTTGAATTGTTCTATATGAGAGATACAATAAGCTTTTACTAGCTTGATTAAAAAATGTGTAACTATCTCACTAAAGGCAAAAAAATGATAACAGAAGATACTGTGGACTGTATGCTTGGGGACTGTGGATACTATCGATAGAACATTTTAGACACTGGTTTATGTACTATTTTTTATGGTTCCTCCCATGGTTTTTTCCTTTAATTTAATAAATACAGTCTAAAAAGACTGAGAGATATCATGATGTAATCATTAAATGATGTGAGTAATAAAAAACAATCAGAATCTTTTAAGAACAGGAAGATAAAAGATAGGGTAGTGGGCAGTAGAGAAGAGAAAAAGTGTATTATTGCTTTCTCAGTACAAAAACTCTTCAGATGTTTATTATCTTCCAGCAGAAGATGCTTGTCTATATTTTATGGTCAGCAGTTCAGAGAAGGGTAAATAGGCTAGGTCTTGGGGAAAATAAAAAAGGTGTTTCTACTCAC